AGTCAGGCTGAGATTAAACAAACTGCTAATGCTTTTATGTAGCTTAATGAGAAGAAAATGTTTCGGAGGGATTCAAACCACTACAGAAGTTTTAAGGGGGGGGAGGAGAAAAAAATTAAACTGAAGTCCACAACAGGCTCAGGAATTTGTTCCACTTATTAATTGAAAACAAAAGCAAGTCACTTGTGTTCCACTGTCCCCGGATTGTCCTCCTTGCATTGTTCCAGATCTCTTTCATTCCGCCCCCGGAGATTTCCCTCCTCTGTATTTTCAGCTGAATTTATTTAGGTTCCTTCTGAGTCTCATCCCGAAGGCAGCTCTTGTTGGGAATCAAGTTGCAGGGTCAGCCCTGTGGCTTGGCCTTCTGCAGGCCTGCCTGAGGCCCTGTGCTTAACCAGGTCATGGAATGGTTTGGGTTGGAAGGGACCTTAAAGCCCATCCAGTGCCACCTTCCACCAGCCCAGGTTGCTCCAACATGGCCTTGGACACTTCCAGGGATCCAGGGGCAACCACAACTTCTCTGTGCAACCTTTACCAGGGCCCCACCACCCTCCCAGCCAGGAATTCCTTCCCAATATCCCATCTAACCCTGCCCTCCTTCAGCTTAAATCCAGTCCCCCTTGTTGGGCACAAGATGTAGGCAGGACCTGCAAAGCAAATTCCCAAACATTTTCTAGCATTAATTTCTGCCTCTGCAATAACTCAAAGCTCTTCTGGCAGTTTTCCTGCGTGGAAGTGGTGTCTGGGTAGGACCTGCCAGCCTGGAAACAGTCCCAAGAAGTGTCTAAAGCAGGGCTGGAGAGAGTATAGGTTGTGTTGGTGCTTGGTGACAACACCTAAGATGTTGCCCAGAGAAGCTGTGGCTGCCCCTGGATCCCTGGAAGTGTCCAAGGCCAGGTTAGACAGGGCTTGGAGCAACCTGGGCTAGTGGAAGGTGTCCCTGCCCATGCAGGGGGTGGAACAGGGTGGTATTTTCAGGTTCTTCCCAACCCAAACCATTCTGGGATTGTGTCCTCCTGCCTCTGACCATGTTATAAGGAGGTTGTTGCCCCTTTCAGTTTTCCCTTGGCTGTATCCCCCCAGACCTCTGCTCTTTGCCCATTTTTGCTCTTGTGGATGAAGAAGTGGCTGGGAAGGCAGTGGAGTATCTGTGTCCAGGTGGGGGTTGAGCACAGGGAGCCCAGCGAGGCTCTGGGATGCCGAGGGAGGGCAAAGCTGTGGAACGTTCCCCACGGACACATTTGTGCTTCTGCCTGAGCCACCACTCCCTTCGTGCCACTTGGGAACTGGCAAAGGCACCTGTGGATCCACCTGAGGAGCACTGAGGGCACTTGGGTTGTGCTGGAGAAGAGGAGGCTCGAGGGAGGCTTTATTGGGGTCTGCAGCTTCCTCTGAGGGGCAACTCCATCTCTGCTCCGTGTGAGCAGGGACAGCACCCAGGGAATGGCTGGAGCTGTGTCAGGGCAGGCTCAGGTTGGATTTTAGGGAAAGGTTCTTCCCCCAGAGGGTGGTTGGGCACTGCCCAGGCTCCCCAGGGCAGTGGGCACAGCCCCAAGGCTGCCAGAGCTCCAGGAGGGTTTGGCTGATTCTCTGGGGCACAGGGTGGGACTCTTGGGAATGGACCTGTGCAGGGCCAGGAGCTGGACTGGATGATCCTTGTGGGTCCCTTCCAGCTCAGGATATCCTGTGATTTTATGACCCGTGGCACAGCTGGATATTTGTCTGTGGCATCCCTATTTTTAGTGGTTTGGCTTCTTGGTGTGCACCAGCTTTGGTTGCCCCTATTTTGGGGGATAAACTTTGCAGTAACTCCAGGCTGCAGATGGCAAACTCCTGATGCATTTGTGGCTTTCCTGGAAAGATTTTTCCAGTTGACCTTTTTTTTTTTTTTAAAAAAAAAAAAGAAGTGGATTTTTAATGAATGCAGAAATTGTGAAACTTAACAATACAATCCAAGAAATTTGAAAGTCATCTTCAATGGTTTAGTGAGTGCACTTAAAAAATATAAACCAGACAGATCTGTCACTGAGCAGAGCCTTGAGTGGGGAGAATTACAGCCTGCCCTGAAATGATCAGATAAGTGCATGTGGGACAGACCACTCTTTCTCAGCCTTTTTTAATCAAAAGCCTTTTTGTGGAGGAGCTTTTTGACCAGCAATTTTTTATAGCAAAATAAAAAAAAAAAAAAACAACACAGAAGGCAGCCTGAAGGATCATTTTCTATAGTTTCTGTCCCAGTTCTGTGTTGTTACAACCAGGAGAAGGAACAGCCCAAAGCAATTCTGAGTTGTGTTTTCTTTCCCTTCGCTGTATTTTTTTATTGTGCTGTCGTGATTATTAATGGTATAAACATGCAGGGAAGATGATTTTCCTTTTAGAGTGTTTTTTTGTGCGTCACCCTTAATGCCTTTTGAATTATCAGTTGTTTCAGGATTGTTCCCTGAAGATCCAGGCGGGCTGTGGGAGCAGAGTGGATGTGCAGGAGAAATGGGATTGAGGGGGAGCAGCTGGAGGGACCTGTAGATCCAGAGGAAGGCAGTGGGTATCCCAAAGATTTGTCAGGAAAGAAGTAGGGAGAATAATGCCCCAGATGTGTTGATTCTGGAAGGGAAATGATCTGTATTGAAGTTGCTCAGGGAGTGGGCCAGGTAAGAGCCAGAGTTGGCCTTGAGGACACTGGGAATTGCTGGGTAGGTCACACTGGACACACCTCGAGGATTTGGGATCACAAGGATGAATTTTCCAGGCTGCTGTGGTCTCTTGGCAGCTGAAGGAACACCTGAGGAAGTTGGATCTCTGCCAGAACCAGGGGACTGAGGATGGTGACGGTGGAGTTCGGGGTTTGAGGGGTGTTTTGACACGACTGGGAGGGAGAGTTCTGTTCTTTGTGCCGGGAACCAGAGTTGGAACTGGTGTGGAAGGTGATGATGGTGGAGTTTGGGCCTTGGAGGGTGTTTTGACACGACTGGAAGGGAAACATTTGTTCTTTGTGCCACCAAACTGAGTCCTGACGTTGTTTGAGTGGAGAATCACCACTAATCACTGAGTGTTATTGATGTGATGATGTTCAATCCAGAGGCCACACCGTGACATCCCATAATGTCAGAGTGGACATCCTGGAACTTTGGAATGTGTTGAACTTGGGTCTGGCTTGGCCGTTCCCTGTTCACTCGTGTTTTGGAGGGAGGGTGGAAATCAAGGATGTTGGTTCTTGGAGGGAGGATTGGGAGAATTCAGAAGGGAAAATACAAAATCTGCTTAAATCTGAGTTTAAATCTGAGTTTAAAGCTGACCAGGCATCTGCTGGGGTTTGTTGCTGCCTGAACACAAACTACTTCTTTTTTTTTTTTTAACTAAAGAAGAATAATAAAAAGGTTTTAATCATCAACCTTAATGTCTTAGATTTGCCATTTCCAAAGAGGGTTTTGCCTGGAGTTTGTAAGTAATTTTGAGTTTTTTTTTTCCCCCCATTGACAGGTGCATACACACATTTGAGTGCAAAACGATTAACTTGCACCCAAAATTACTATTTTTTTTTAAATTATCTATACCTGAGTACAAACACAACTCACCTATTTTTATTTTCTCGTCATGTGGAATTATCAACCT